ACTGGCACAGATAGAAAGATGCTGGGACATGGTCCATTTCATATTCCTTGGCACAAGGGGCCAAAAACCCCTGCTGCAATTGTTACTAACATTTGTCTGTTTTCACGACAGATATCTCTGGATTAATATGCAGAATTTATGATCCGTCATTAGATTACACGAATATTGCATATAAATCTAAGAATGTCAACAAGGTAACTAGCCTTGGTCAAAATAGTGACAAACTACTAGGCTAGTGAGCTAAGCCACCATTAGGTAGGAAGATTAGAATTTAACACAACTTTCTTAAGTGTACCTAATTGCCACACAAACTTGAACATCTATATAAACAAATATCTTAGTAATGATAAAGTCCAAAATAAGTAATGTTGTTGGGGGTGAGTAGTGAGTCAAAGGTCAATAAAGGGTAGCGCCATAGTTCAATGAAACACCTCTCTCCCACCTTCCACGCATATTCAATTTTCATCTATATATTATTAATTTACTATTCTTACTAGCAAGAAAACCGTTGTGTATTACTAATTTGATAGACAAAGAAATATAGGTAAGAGGCTCGTCATTGAAAATAACACTAAACAGAGAGTTTCGTCATCCTTGTTTCGATGTTCATATACCCATCTGGTTTGCATGATATTCAATATTGTAAGTAGTAGTCTCATGAATGTTCGAACAAAGGATGTGACCGAACTATGATGAAGATAAATATTTTCGAATGAGGCTCATTCTCTATCAATATAATATTCGATATTTGATACTGTTTGATATATTATTTATTTTTAGTTGATTATACCGTATGGTATCGAACCGACAATATTAATATCTATAGGAACTTATGGGAGAGTGATGAACGGTGAACCCCCACCACACTCGTCCGTCAATGGCACGTGAAGGACGCCAATTCTGATCAAGACGAGAAAAACAATGGAAATATATATAGTACGGTTGGACTAATTAACAAGTGATAATAATATTTATATAATAATAATTGTATGATCATTGATTCATTAAACCCTAGCTGGCTGCGTTATCCCCGAAAATATAATTAATAAAAAACTTGGTCAATTTGTTCGCAAGACTCCGAAGATTAGGGCTAGTTAATCTAAGTCGCCAAAATCGAATAGAGAATATTTTGGCCATAATAAGTTAATTTTCTACGATTAAATTAAAAGATCAAACCAAGTCAAAAACCAGCAGAGAGTTTAAAAAACGAAGAAGGGAGGAAATTAGGCAGATTTGAAGTCTTAAATTAATCAAGTTATATGAAATAATTGGTCGTCGAAACGGGAAAGATGGCCAGGTGTTACGACATGCAGTTGCATGCAGAGAGTGGAATAATAAATAAATCAACGTAAAACGTGCAATCTAGTTTTTGGGAAAGAATATTTGAAGCACATTGCGAATGAACTGATCAATGTGGAGAAGAAAAAAAAAAAAACAATTCATTCATAAGTATGCCTAAGTAGTAGGCTATATAGGCTATATGTCAAGAACCAGTTGATTTCAATAATTCGAGTTGTTGAAAAATGTTCAATCGTGGATGGTATACCACATACTAATACGCCCCCTCAAACGAAAATAACTCACAAGGGCTTGAAGTTTGCACAGGTCTGAAGACAAGAATGCCATGTGCTTAACATATGGGGGTCGTGGGGATTCGAATACAAGACCTCTCGGTCACATAAGGCTCTGATACCATGTCAAGAACCAGTTGATCTCAATATACCACACACTAATACTATACAACATTTGCAGTAACATAGCCAGCCTTTGAGTTGATTGGATATTGACGTCATTCAAAAAATTTAAGAAAATTTGATTAAGTAACCATTAACCACAAAAGTGGCAGCCAAAAAAGAGATTATTATGGCTAGGGATGGCAATGGGTCGGGTCGGGGGCGGATAGTGCATATCCGTTACCCTACTCAAAGCAGTTCGGGTTTTACCCATACCCATACCCACATGTGAAACGGGTAGAAAATCAAAACCATGCTCATACCCGTTCGGGTTTCGGGTATCCACGGTTATCCATGGGTAATCATTTCTCTTCATAACTTCAACCAATATGTTAACATTCACACGAATTATCACATTACGTAAGAGGAAAAGTACGACAATAATTCACTAGAATGAAGAAAATTAATTAAAACAAAACAATTTCATGAAAATATTATACTTATATGCTAAATATAAAATATGTTAGAGAAAAATAATGATTATATCTAGAGAAAATACATATGCATTTGTATAATCGGGCGGGTTTGGGTTGGATAGTGAGAAATCCATGCCCACTCATTACCCACAATATTCGGGTTCGGGTTTTACCCGTACCCACTAAATGTCTTTCGGGTTCGAGTTTTACCCAACCCGATTAGGCCGGATTCGGGTGGATATCCACGGTTACGGATATTTTTGCCATCCCTAATTATGGCGGCCTGAAACTATAACTTGTTGAAATAAAAAAGTTGACATAATTGACTTTATATGACAGTCAACAGTCGATTATTCTTGACTAGAAATGGAATGGATGGAAGGGGGAAACGGACGAAAAGGGAGAACAAAACTCGAATAAAACGTACAGAAAGGAAGAATATGTTACAGGAGCAGATTAAAATATCAGAGCAGACTCGAAACAGTTCCCCCTGTCTCATCTCATCATCTTGCATGGTTGGTGGCTAGGGCAAAACGACGAAATTGGAATATAGAATAGTATGCAAATTTGTGGAGAGATCGATCACAGTATAACATGGCAGCTGCCTGCCATCCTTTTTTGAATATATCATTTTGATGCATATATTATAATGATATAATTATTTGTTGATATGATTTGAAATTGTTTACTAGTCGACGATTACGAGGTTCTAGGACGATTCATCGTTCGATTGTGTGAGTTCTTACGCTTTTATTTTGAATTTGGTTTTGATCTTTCTTGTTTATGGTTCGGAAAAGGTATTTGAGTTTTTTTTTTGTTTAGAGAAGATGTCGATAGTACGTGATATATGATCTATTATAATTCGACATATAAAAAATAACTTGAGTTATTGTAACCAACTGATTCTTCACACTATATAACCTAATAATTCGTCAATAATATATGTAATCTATTTAAAAAAAAATAGTAAAAAACTGGTATTTTTTGTTCGTGAGCTAAGTTAACACACATTGTTGTAATTAGTAATATGTTGGGTTCGTTCACTTTCTTGTTTTGTCAATTGCTATTTAAGTTATAACAACTATGTTAGGAGAGTTTACTACGGTGACATGGTCTAAACTCCAAGTAAAACTTACTTGGAGTCTGTCGAGTAGATATGTCATTGATAGAAAAAAATGGAGAACTCTGCAGGTTGAACCAGTTGACATATACACACTAAGTCAGTCGATCGACCTACATAATCCAAAGGTTGATCATCGTTTGATACTCCGATCAATCTTCTATATAAAAATAGATCTTAATCTACAATTTTTTATTGGTGTAAGCATCTTCCCTCGAAACCAATCGACCCGAGGAACACAATCAGTATTATCTATAAGCCATTATAAATTATAATCATGTATTGTCAATATTAAGGTCGAGAGAAGTTGTCCACCAAACCCCAAATAATATTTACATTGAAGTAATTGTGACATACCCTCTTATTATATTATAGTGAATTATTTGATCCATAATTATCTCTTCATCAATGTGAATTATGAATAATTGATGGCTGCCTTTTCCATTTACTCAATCAAGCCGTCGTTCAATTCATCGACAATAATAAACTAACAACTTGTTTTTTTTTGGGGTAGAAAAACTAACAACTTGTTAGTAACAAGAAAAAGAACATAAAACATGCAACTAGTCTCTCGATCCCTTTGGGTGGCTGCTCAAGAAATCCTCAGAAGAAAACAAATGGTACGATATGCATAAAGATACCATCTCTCCAATCCAAGAAGAACCTATTTTGAACATATTATAGAGTTTTTATTTTTTTTTTCCTTCTAATTATGGTGATTCAATAATACTTCTAACCAAAAAATGACGGAGATTAGCATAAAGAGAGATAGAGGTCTATTGTTAGTGGTGGAGCTAGGTTGAAGCTAGCAGGGTTGTAACGTGTAAATTTTGTACAAAATTAGGAATTAAAATAGTCGGTAAGGCTTTAACTTCCATTCCTCCAATTATGACATTCAAATCAGCTCCACCTCGTTCAGATTTCTACTCCACTATTGTCTATTAGAAATGAAAGTCATCATGACATAACAAGGAAAAAAAAAGGAAAAAAAATCTAAACAACGAGGAGATAGTACATTTTTTTGTTGTTGCAAATACACAGAAAGAGAAATAAAATGACGTTCGAGAGAAAATACATATAACGGATTATCGACCTAATAGTTTCTCTTTCAAGCATTGAATTGTAAGAAGTCAAATACTGGTCATCAACATAGTGTCCAAAACCCCTTAACCAATGTTTCTGTAGACATCTAGCTAACGAAATCTATCAATTTCTCATATTGTCTAACCAAAAATAAGAAATTATCAATTACTCTAAAATTTAATGCCAACTAATTAACTTCTAGCTACAACAAATCTATGTAGACTACAAACATAAATGAGCTTAAAGCAACTCGATCAAACTATAAACAAAATGTTAAACATAAAGTGTTTGACGATTTCTTGTTTTGTTTTATATTATAAGAAGCTAGATAGGAAGTTTCATTACCATCTTTTTAACCCCCCCAAAGGCAGCCAAGAAAGAACATATAAAATAGCCCAAAAAATTCGAATATCGATTTTCTTTATCTTTACAAACGGGGGATGGCTAAAACCCTAACTAGTATTTCTCATTTTTATTTATTTTATTTTAACTTCATGTTGACTGAGTGACTAGTGTTGGAGGAACTAACCAATTCCTCCATTTCCCCCTTTGTTCATTAGCTATAAAAAGGTCACTTCCTCCCTGCAACCTCCACGCTCTCTCATTTGCTTCTGCTTCTTCTCCTTCTTCCTCATTGTTCATTCTTTGGCTTCTTCCATTACTGAAAAAAACTTGCAGAGAAGGAACAAGAAGGTGAAAAGGGTGAGAAGTGAAAGTATTAGTGAGAAGAGAAGAAGATAAAAGAGGAGAAAATGGCTTCTTCATTGTTGAGATCGACCTTCCTTCCATTGATCCATTCTCAGGATGGCCAGTCTTATGCAAGCTTCCCTCCTAAACCCACCTCCACCACCTTCCTCTCCAAGAAGGTAAACCCCGATCGAAATACATACTACGATTTGGTTCTAGATATCATTCGTGATATACTTTGGGCGTTTTATAATTATTTTGTTGCCTTAAATCATAGAGTTTAACTGATACCACTATGAGTTTAACTTATGATATAAACTTATAATTAGCACATTTTTGGCAACTTGACATGATCATTTTCATAAAAGTTTGAGTTTTGACGAGATTCAAAGCTCGAATCTAGCGAGAGTTGTTAAGACTCAAGACGATTTAGTTGAGGTTCTTATCTAACAGCCAATACCAGCTTGATTATCCTTTTGTTTCGTAATGTTAATGTGATCAGCTGAATTCAAACTGATGCGATTTTATGAGTTATTGTGACGATAACTAATATTTTTCTTATAGATAAGAGTGATATAGGTTAGACGATTATTGAAATTATGAGTTATTGTGACGAATTAGTTATTCTCTGTAGCTTTTTTTGTGATGTGGTATGATGTTTAGACTAAAAAGGTATACTTGTTTCTGGTATGTTCCCTCAGAAGAACAGGGGAGCAGCAGTGATAGCTGCTGCAATGGAAAGTGAGGAGGAGAACTTCGCAATGGTGGAAAAGTTCAGTGAGATGAAAGAGAAAAGGATGCTGGATTTCTCCGGCAACAAGCCTGCCACTCCGATTCTCGACACCATTAATTTCCCCAACCACATGAAGAATCTCTCCCTCCAGGTACCCACCATTAATACATAAAAAAAAAAAAAACAGAGCTCCTCTGTTCTTCCCCCCTGTTTTTCCATCCATGGCGATCTCACTTCCAAGAGGAATTGTTTATTTCCCCCCACGTGCAGGAGCTAGAGAGCTTGGCCGATGAGCTGAGGGAAGAGATCGTGTACACAGTTTCCAAGACCGGCGGCCATCTGAGCTCCAGCCTGGGAGTCGCAGAGCTCACCGTGGCTCTCCACCATGTTTTCAACACCCCTGAAGACAAGATCATTTGGGACGTCGGCCACCAGACTTACCCGCACAAGATCCTCACCGGAAGAAGGTCGAGGATGCAATCGATTCGCCAGACGTTTGGGCTCGCCGGTTTCCCGAAGAGGGACGAGAGCGAGCACGACGCCTTCGGCGTCGGACACAGCTCCACGAGCATATCGGCTGGATTGGGTATGGCGGTGGGAAGAGATCTGCTCGGGAAGGACAACCATGTGATTGCAGTGATTGGAGATGGAGCTATGACAGCAGGGCAAGCTTATGAAGCGATGAACAATGCTGGGTACTTGGATTCCAATTTGATCATCATCTTGAACGACAACAAGCAGGTTTCTCTGCCGACGGCCACCGTCGACGGGCCGGCGCCGCCGGTCGGAGCTCTCAGCAAGGCTCTGACCCGGTTACATTCCAGCAGGAAGGTTCGCATGCTTAGGGAATCTGCCAAGGTGAGTGATCGGCTAATCGCGTTAGTGAAAATCACGCTTTAAACCTTAAAAACTACCATTTTTATGTAGAATCGCACTTTTCATATAAAAGTGTAGTGAAAATTTACGCTTTAATAAAGATATTTCCAAATCATCAAAACATGTAGAATGGTGATTTAACTACAATCCCATGTTGACTGTAATTGGGGATTGGTTTTTGCAGGAGATCACAAAGCAGATTGCTGGGCCGAAGACGTATGGGCTGGCAGCCAAAGTTGATAGCTACGTTAGAGGGATGACTGGTGGGCCAGGGGCAAGCCTGTTTGAGGAGCTTGGGCTGTACTACATCGGCCCAGTTGATGGTCATGATGTGGCAGACCTTGTCGTCTTGTTGAAGAAGATCAAGTCCATGCCAGCTCCTGGACCTGTTCTCATCCATCTCATCACTGAGAAGGGCAAAGGCTATGCTCCAGCTGAATCTGCTGCTGATAAGATGCATGGTATGTGAAAATTCGATAATCAGTTTGTCCCAATAACTCGAGTGGTCATGTTATATGGAGTAAGTAACTTTAAGCAGAAGTGACTGAAACATGTTACGATTTTGGTTGAGCCAGGTGTGGTGAAGTTTGATACAGTCTCTGGGAAGCAGATCAAGACCAAGACACCAACAAAATCATACACTCAGTACTTTGCTGAGTCCTTGATAGCTGAGGCTGAGCACGATAAGAAGATCGTGGCAATCCATGCTGCCATGGGAGGAGGGACAGGGCTGAACTTGTTCCAGAAGCAGTTCCCTGAGAGGTGTTTTGATGTTGGGATAGCAGAACAGCATGCTGTCACATTTGCTGCTGGTTTGGCTACAGAAGGGCTCAAGCCCTTCTGCACCATCTACTCATCTTTCCTTCAAAGGGGTTATGATCAGGTGAAATTTCTGATCCCCAAACCCTTGGAAGTAAGGGTCATTTGTGGTTGTTGGATTGATGATTTTAATAGTCTTTTTGGCTTTGTGTAGGTTGTTCATGATGTGGACCTTCAGAAGCTACCTGTGAGGTTTGCAATGGATAGGGCTGGCCTTGTTGGAGCAGATGGGCCAACACATTGTGGAGCTTTTGACACAACTTTCATGGCTTGCTTGCCAAACATGGTGGTCATGGCTCCTTCAGATGAGACAGAGCTCATGAACATGGTTGCCACAGCTGCAGCCATCGATGATCGTCCCAGTTGCTTTAGGTACCCAAGAGGCAATGGCATTGGCACTGTTCTCCCACTAAACAACAAAGGAACACCTCTCGAGGTAAATCGGATTGTCTGCATTTCGCATTTGATTTTGCTCTATATGATCATGGAGACTAATCAAACTTTTGGTGTGTTGTCAACAGGTTGGGAAGGGAAGAGTGCTTAGGGAAGGAAGTAGGGTGGCTATATTGGGTTATGGAACTATAGTTCAGAACTGCATTGAAGCAGCAGACAAGCTTCAAGCTTTGGGGTTCCAGCCAACTGTGGCTGATGCAAGGTTCTGCAAGCCACTTGATGGTGAGTTAATCAGAATGCTGGCTCAGGAGCATGAAGTTCTGATCACAGTTGAGGAAGGTTCCATTGGTGGGTTCAGCTCTCATGTCTCCCATTACTTGGGCCTCAATGGATTGCTCGATGGCAAGCTCAAGGTAAACACCAAATCGAGTTATGGATTAATCGGGTTGAATCAGGATCTTTCAGAACTCTAATGTTCTTCTGTTATGTTTTGCAGTGGAGACCAATGCTGCTTCCTGACAGATACATTGACCATGGATCTCAGAAGGACCAGATTGAAGCTGCTGGGCTGAGCTCAAAGCACATTGCAGCCACTGTTCTTTCTCTAATTGGACACAAGGAAAGCCTTCACCTTATGGATATATAGATTGTATGATAAAATAAATTTGTCGATTCTTTTCTTTATTATCTTATAGGGGAGGGAGAACAACTACAACTAATTGCATTATGTATTACCAATGTTTCTTTCATTGTATATTAGGGAAAACCAGTGAAGAGGGTACTTAAGAAAATAACTAGTAGCTCCCTCCCTTCCTTGTACTTTCATTAAATTCAATCAATGATACAAATGTTGTGCTCCAAGTATGAATACAGTCTATGTAGGGCTAGCCATGGCCCGACTCGATCCAAAATTGAACTACAACGATATAGAATCGTACAAAATCGTACTCTATCTGATTTGATTAAACTCAAATCTCAGTTTTGTGTCCTCTCTTCCTTTGTTTCTAAGAAGATCCAATGGAATATGGCCTGAAAAGGTCTAGATGGAGTAATACTCCTGTCAAATTCGATCCAAATGTGAACTCGACATGGTTCAGTTCAGAGCGGATTAGATCGTGGTTCACCCCTAAGTCAATGCATGTGTGCATAAGTTATAAGAAAACTACAAAATTTTCTGAAAGCTGAATGTTTCTTTTTTTTGTTTATGCTTACAAATACTCCTCCAAGTCAATCTCTAGAGGGACATCATACCCATAAACCATGGAGAAATCATCCAATTCATCAGATGTAAACTTTGGTATTCTCCGGCTCTTGCCAATTTCAGAATCTTGTTGGCAAGTGGTCAAAAGCTCCAAAACCTCGCTCATCGAAGGGCGCCATGCTGCAGATTGTCTGACACAGTATGAAGCTGTTAGCACAACTCTGTACATTTGGTCTGCTTCATACTTGCCTTCCAGTTTTGGGTCAGCCAGTTCAGCTACATTCCCAGCTTCCATCAGTGGCTTTGCCTGGTTTTGTACCAAGAAACATAAAACAACATTAGAAAACAGGTTAATGCAGTTTATGTACCATGTTGTTTCAAAAAACCTTTCCTTGTATTGTACATACCCACAATAGAAGGTTCTGCATTGAAGAATCAACAGGCCTTCTCCCTGAGATGATCTCCAGCAGCAGAACTCCAAAGGAGTAGACATCTGTCTTCTCATCCACAATCCCATGCATGAAGTACTCTGGAGCTAAGTAACCAAATGTTCCCTCAATTGGGATCACAGCATGGTGTGTCCACTTGTTTGGAAGCCATTTGGCCAGCCCAAAATCAGTGATCTGCAAAAAAAACAAAAACTTATTTAAACCCCCTCTTCATCAGAATGAAAGAAACCTGAAGAAATTGTTACTTAACTAAAGTTACCTGAGGCTCATAGTCGGGTCCAAGGAGAACGTTGGAGGCCTTGATGTCGCGGTGGATTATGCGATGCTTGCAGCATTTGTGTAAGTAATGCAGTCCTCTTGCAACTCCAAGAGCTATTCTGTACCTTGTTTCCCATTCAAGCACCTCTTCTGTTTTGCCTAACATAAAATAATTTGAGCTCCAACAGATGTTAAACACTTTGGTCTTTGGGTTTTCAAGTGGCATTTTTTTGGTTTCAGAAGAAGCAATGTGATGTTATTACCATGCAATGCTGAGGCCAAATTCCCATTCTGCGAGAAGCTGAAGATGAGGTAGAGCCCATTTTCAATGCAGCAGCCAACTAGAGTTGCTGTATTGGGATGGCAGATATGGCCTATAATCCCCAATTCTGTGAGGAACTCTTTCTCCTTTCTAGCATCTGTGTTGTCCTTAGCCAGCCTTTTCACTGCAATGGTTGTTCCACTAGGAAGATCTCCTCTATACACTTCTGAGTACCCTCCTACTCCTACTAGATTCCCTGCCAAAATTTGTCAAACACCCCTATACTACATCAGAACATTGATAAATAACATGTAATTTTGATAGCATGGTGAGTTTCTATACAGATGCAGTGAACCACACAATCAAGAATGTGTTTACCTGGATGGAAATAGCTGGTAGCTCGTGCGATATCCTCGTAGGTAAAGCACTTGAGCAAAGGCTGCTGATGCTGATCTTGATGTTGCAGTACTAGCTTAGGTTTTCCAGAGAAGCTTTGACTTCTTCTTCTTCTGAAAGATGAAGTCAAGAATGAGCTGATGGCCTTATAAGGAGACATCATTTGCCTTATGGATTTTGAGCTGTGAATCAACTTGGAAGGAGATTCTGCTATTCCCATTGTAACTGTTGAACCGGAGATGCTTGAAACCTCATCTTCATTACTGCTGTGAGATGAAGATGATGGTGAGGATGATTCCCCTTCCAAAACAGTCCTAGGAGAATCTTTCTGTCTCCTGGTGAGATTTTCCTTATCATGTTCTTCACTGGCTGGGGAACCAAGACTGCTGCTGTCATCATTTGCCTTCCTCAACCACTCTGAGCTTGATTGATGAACTTCTGCATAACATAACCAAAGTGAACAACTTTTTTAATTAAAGTTTGTCACAAAAGAAACATGGAAGCAAATGAGTAAGTAAGCAAGTCAAACCTTTGAGGAGTGCAGAGTTGAGATTTGGCTGTTGAGACTTCCCAATTGAGATGACTGAGCATCCCTCAGCAGCATGCTCAAAACAATACTTGATGACCTCATGCCAAGTCCTATGAAATCCCAAGTCAAACCAATTAAATAACCAAAACCCATATCAGAACATGACATTTAAACAAACATTAACAAACCAAAGTTGTGATCTTTTTTCTGTTTTTATATTTGACAAACCTGTTGGACCTGCTTCTCAAGCCAGGAAGAACAAGGTAGTCAGTTGACATGGAGTTCGACTCATGAACCAGGCCAGCTCCAACACTGGAGCTGAATCCAACTCTTGCCTCCAAGTTTATCTGCTTGGACTGGCAGCTCCAAGCATACTCTCCAAGCACAGAAATCACATGAGCTTTCGCTTGTCGAACCCGGGACTGCACCCTCTTACTACCACTACTCCCCTTCTTAGTCTTCTTCTTCTTTGGCTGCTCATCATCAACTGTCATAAAACACAACCCAAAATTGTCAAAATTGGAAGTGAAACAAATTCTAACAGAATCCCAGATGTCATTTCCTTTTTTGTTCTGAGTTAGTGGCTTACCAACAACATGGATGGCAACAATGGTGTCACAAGGGCTGGCAAGAACCCTGATAGCCCAAGAGAGAAGCTCATTGCTTTCATCTGGGTCCAATGGGATCCCAATTAGTATCTTGGAAGGAGATGAAGGGATCATTGTTCTGCAACCAAAGTTGAGAACTTTCTGGTGGGTTTTTTGTTTTTGAAATGGGTATTATACAGTTATGTCAGTTATTTTTGCTGGCTTTGGTTTAGAGGCTTATATGGGTTGTGGGGTGTAATGACAGAATGATTAAGGGGTGAGTAGAGGAGTACTGAGAGTGAGAAAGCTTGAGATTGTCTGATAACAAGAATAATCTAATCTTCCCATTTCAATGATTTCCATCATCATTCTTGAATCACAAGGAATCCAAGTCATCTGTTATGGAGGGAAGACAGGAGGGGGGCAAAGGGGCAGAGTTGTTGCAGTTGGGGTGCTTTGGGGTATAACTTATAAGCAAAGATTGGTGATTTTGAGTTGGTAGGTTTCTTCTTCCTTCTCTCTTTTCTCTCTTTTTATGATGTAGTATTCTTTTTCAATTCGGATTTGGTAAGGAAGAGAGATTCATTTGGCCAATGAAACACTGCCCTTGTTATCATGAAATTGGCCATAGCCTTCACAACAAACTAGTGTTCCCTTTTTGGCTTTAAGCTTCTCCACGTGAAGTGAAATAGAGGGGATAGAGGCCTTTTTTGTTCTTGTTCATGGAAAGGGAATTGAGACGTGCAGTTTTGTCCATGTATACTTCTATAGGAATTCACTTTTGGTAAGGCGCTAAATCATTTCGTTCTAACGAGTTCAGTTAATTGGACGAGAAATTTAACAACGATTCCAAATTCATAAATATAAGGTAGAAACAAAGCAAGAAGTTCACACGATTTCAAATCTTGTTTTAAAAAAAACTTGTTTTGAGTTAACACGTATTCTATGCGATATGACGAGTATATTAACTATCGGTGTCAATAGACAACCATTGTCACTAGTACTTTTGCATTGTCCATCCTTTTTGTTTAATAAGAGGCCCAGATAGATGGATGGATGGATGAACAAACCAGGCCCATAGATTTCATTGCATATAATCCAAATTCTTGCCACAATTTTGTACGTTTCATAGATATTATTTTCCATCTTCTTTGTTCCCATTACCCGTCGGCAACAATGGCCTGTGGTCCTTAAATTCGACTGTGATGTGTGCAGCCACACATGGACGAAAAACAGTTCAATAGAGCTATATGAGGGTTACTGGAACATTCAGTTAAAAACTTTGTTCAAAAGTGTCTTGAGTTATTGGAGTGATCTATCGTTTATCTATTATCTCGATTTACAGTTTTGATCATTGGTTTGAGCATACAACACAATGGATTGTACCTTCTACATTTGTCGTACTAGTTTCTGTTCGAGAAATAAGAGAAAGGTAAAAAGATGAAGGGTTGGACTCTTTTTTCACAACATAATATCACATGCTTTGCCTAAATATTTCATGATTGAATGTTCATAATTTATGACGTTAACAATTAGAAGTTGAGTTATAATGAATTTGTACACACGGATCGATTCATTTTTTTTTTTAAGAAGAAGTATATTATATGATCCAAAATTGGACAAGATTTCAATGCGATCATTATAATTTGTGTACATCTTATAGTAAGAACTAATCATTCACCTATGAGCCCCAATACCATACTACTATAGCAAGGGGATGAATTATTTGGATCCAACAAGAGCTTGGGCACTTGTCTTCTCCTTAAAGTTGAAGACAAGGGTAGATTCTATATACAAATGGAAAGTATACAATTAGTTGGCTTTTTTCTTGACCAACTAATGTAATTAAATACATGTTATTAGCTTCTCTTAACTAACACACATTAATTAATAAATGCTACACTTTGTTTGCACTTGGAGCATATTGATGCCCTAAAATTGGATCATGGATCCCCTCAATGGAAATGTTAGATTATGGTCCTAATTGTTTGAAGGGTATGGAGAGCCATTCTTGAGAACCAACGTTTCGGACTAAATGTTTTCAATCAATTGGGTACTACGAGTTTGTTCGATATGAGTTTTTCGAATAAGTCATGGATATGTCGTGTATCTCGCCCAATAGATGATGATTATCTGATTATCGAAAATATGTAATGAAGTCATTTCGGCAATCTAACTATAGTATTCATCAAGTGGGCATTTCAAACAATTGCTCCTTCTTGTACTTACTTCAATAATGAACATTAAGTTGACCGTGCGTGATTACTAATTACTTGTTGCCTTTAGGCTTTGGTTAGTGGCTTATTTCATGTCCTTTTGTGATTGTTTTGGTGATTAGTAATCGTCCATTTGGAGGCATATAGTTGTACGGCCGGCTTCAAATTGATAAATGGACTTTCTGAGTCTTCATCATGAAATATATGTTTTTGAAAATTATGCATAAAGTAATGTATTAAGAGTGAATATATAATACAGGCATAAATTACATGTTTAATATCAATCTATTACGAAAGGTGGTTGGCAAAGAACTCAGAGGAAAATCAAAGAAAACATGATTCGACCCTTTGTAATTTTCAAAATAGGAAAATAGAAAAAATAAACGAGACTTGTTTTCCTATCAACAAATTGATTATACATATAAGAGAGAAAATCATTTCACCCCAATTCAACCAACAAACTCTTTTCTTTTTATCCTATTTTTCCCCCTTCGTCGCTACTTGAAATCGCTCTCAATACGTTAAAGAAACTGAAAGGAGGAAATAAACATTTAGACACATCCGGTTAAAGATGAACCAAATCAAATCAAACCAAACCTTTCATTTTGTTCGGAGATGTGTCTTGTAAACATATGTATTTTTTCCCCCTCTCATTTAAATCTTCCAGTCCGATTGTTTCCATGTCGTTTGTAAGGATCTTGCATTTTAGGCAATTCTAACGCACTAAACACACCGTATCCGCTTTCCTCCGGCAACCCGCCTCCACCACCGTTATTCCCTCCTTCTCCTCTTCCTCCTCTACCACCTCCACCACCACGATTTCCTCCTCCTCCTCCTCCTCCTCCACCGCCACCACGATCTCCATCTTCCTCCTCATCATCCGTCTGCTCCATCGCCATCAAATCCTCCCTATACTTAACGCTCGCCAATCGGGTCTGGAGCGGCCGGGTCCTCGGGTCGTAGTTCTTCAACATGTTCACCACTTCCTTCATATTGGGCCTCTTTTCGGGCTCGTTCTGCACGCACAAAGCAGCCACGTACACGGCCTGCTTGAGATGGTTCTCGTCGAAGTTTCCCCGTAGTTTTGGGTCCACCAGGTCCCGGAACTTGCCCTGGACTATGAACGGCTCGGCCCACTCGGTTATGGTCCGCTTGATCCCGCCGGGCAACTTCTCGATGGGCTTCCGGCCCGTGACAAGCTCGAGGAGCAGGATCCCGTAGCTGTACACGTCGCAACTCTCGGAGACCTTCCCCCACATGGCGTACTCCGGCGCGAGGTAGCCCAACGTGCCCTTGACACGTGTCGTCATGTGGCTGACTCCATCGGGGATCAGCTTCGCGAACCCGAAGTCGGCCACCAACGGGTCGAAGTTCGAGTCGAGCAGGACGTTGCTGGCCTTTATGTCGCGGTGGATGATGTGCGGCGTCACCTCGTGGTGCAAGTACCTAGTGCACACAGAAGAAAGTAATCATTAACCAGCGAATAAGGACTTAGTCTAGTGTGATACTACTATAATTGTTTAAACATCACCTAATTATAAAACACATCTTATACAAAAAAAAAGTTGTTAATCATATGATCGTATTTAGCATGTAGCTATCATAAAATTAATTGGTCTCAATAACTCGAGTTGCTCGAAGAATGTTATTTATGAATCATATATCACTTTCTTACACGTCCGAGTAAAAATTTGGGTGGTTGGGGGACATCACTTACAGAAGGCCTTCGCCGGAGCCGATGGCGACCTTCATCCGGCGCTTCCAGTCCAGCTGAACTTCGCCGGCGAACTGGCCGTGGAGGTGAGATAGGAGGCTGAGATTAGGCATGTAGTCGTAAACTATGAGCCGCTGATCGGTGCCGGCGCAATACCCTCGAAGCCCCAACAAGTTCTTGTGGCGTACCCTGCCAAGTACTTCCACTTCCACCGCAAACTCCATCTCCGCCTTGGAGTTCATCGCCTTCAACTTCTTCACCGCAATCTAACACATCAAGGATCAATCAAACTAAGCCTCTAGATCGCCATTAATCTAATCAAACTCAGGACGAAAAGATTAAATTCGAACCTGAAGTCCATCGTTGGTTTTGCCCCAATAGACGCTCCCAAACCCTCCTTCCCCTAGCTTGTTGTCTTCACTAAACCCATTTGTGGCGACGTGTAGCTCCTTGTACGTGAAGATCCTCCACGACGTGTTGCTCGCCGACAAGCCGTCGCCGGCGGCCGCTCCTCCGTTCACTGTTCTGTGACCAACACAACGTATATAGCTTCGCCGTATTAGCTGATATCAATAATTCGAGTTGTGTAAGAGACTCAATAATAGATCTTATACGACATGTTAATATGTTCCTTAATTGAGTTTTTTTTTTTTTTTTTTTTTTGAATAAATCCTTAATCGAGTTGGTGTAAGACTTTTCGATTATACGTACCTTTCATCGACGGAGTTTCCGGAGCAGCAGCTAGAGCCTGCTCCCATGGCGGATGGGAGAACGGTGAGGGTGGAGGAGGAGGGAAGAGATTAGAGAGGGATTAGGAGAGGCATTGATGATTTAGAGAGATTAGAAGGAAATGCTAATTAGCTACTTGTTTTTAAACAGAACATTAAAGACAAAGAAGGTTTATGCTAATTAAAATCGCCATTTGAACATTGTTTATGATTTGTTATTATTTTGTCACCCAATGGGCTTGCCGGCCGGCCCTTGTGTTTGAAGCTTCAACGGATATCACCAAGTGGTGTTACGGTATTATATGATATATGATGATGATAATTTTTTTTTTTTATAATGAGGAACACCCTCCACGGTCACCACATTTTGTGGTGTCGTAGTCGGGCTAAACCCCGGGACCTCCGCCGGCGGTCCGGGTGATAGCGGGATGCCTCCGGAAACACCATGGTGGCGTGAGGATCGAACCTGGGACCTTATGGTCACCAGTCATAGAATACAAATTAATTTATTGAAAACCTTGGATTAAGAGATAATTAATTTCTAATCCATTTTAACCGATGTTAAAATGTTTTTACCGTACCTCCATTATATAGTTATATGGAAACTCAAATCATATCTATGTAAAACTATGTTTAAGTAATATCTAGAATGTTCTGTGGGCTCGCTGGGATGAACGAGTTGTGTGGATCGATAGACCACCAATTTATTTGGTTGATCAGATTAAATTGGAAGATGTAGCAGCCAATTCTGATTAATGTCATGGTTACAGATTTTCGTAAAAAAAATACTATGTTTAAGTAATATTTAGAATACTAGAGGAACACAATGCCTAGTATTTTGTGTGCTCATTTATACAAACATGACTTACAATACTCATGGAAGGCATGCTTCATGTTCATAGGTTGGCCCTAAACATTGTTCTTTTGACAATAAATGACAAATAAATAACATATAAAAAATTGC